AGAATGAAATTCAAATTATATACTTTTAAATTTTAAATTTTTTTGGTTAAAAATTATTTTTTTATTTTTTTAGATCATTTTAATATGTTAATTTTAAAAATATTTTTTTAAAAAATATAAAAATATATTATTTTAATACATTTCTAAATAAAAAATATTTTAAACCGTAATTATTATCACAATTCCAAACAAACCGTAATTACACTATAAATGCTTAAAACCCTAACAAATATATTAAATAATTTTTTGTACCAAAATACATGTTAATAATATTTTTTCATTTTTAAATAAAAAATATTTTAAACCATAATTACTACTATAATTCCAAATAAACCATAACTACACTTTACACTATAAGTGTTTAAAACCTTAATAAAATTATTAAATAACTTTTCATGTTAAAATACATGTTAATGATATTTAAAAAAAAATTATTTTTAATTTCAGTATATTAAAATAATTTAAAAATACTAAAAATATATTAATTTAAAATTAATAAAATTAATTTTTCATACCAAAATACATCTCAATAATATTTCCCCTCATTTCATATCCTGATCCCTTTGTCCTGCAGAAGACATCACTTCTAATCTCCTGTCTAAGTACGTATCATCATCCTGCATCCATTCAACATTCATTAAAATACTATGTGAGTCTATTAAATTAAAATCAGTGCTCTAATATCAGTTGTAATACCCCAATAATAATATTGTCAATATAAACAATTATTGATAAACCATTACTCCACACACACACATGGTATGTTTTTCGACAGAGTTTCCCATTATTTTTTCATACAATGTTATTGACACTTTATCCAATCATCCTGATCAACATATATGTTTTCATACCAATAATTATTTATATATAATTCCATTTATTACACATTCAAATACAATTTATTTGAAAGAACATATAATAAATGGAATTATATAGAAATAATTATTTCTAAGAATTCACAACACTTGAAGCCCACGCGCCAAAATTAACGAAAACACCCTCGCATTAAATTCTATGTCATTATATCATCTAGAAAACTACTTATAAATTTATCTTTTACAATATTCAAAAGAGAGTGATTTAATATGCATACCTTACACACCATTAAAATTTGCATGCCAAGTTGAGTCTAAAATACTTCGTTAATACATGGAACCCACCAAGATAAGCTATACCCTAATTCCTACTGATCCTGTCTGGCGGACCTAAAATAAAACAAATAAGTTATCATAATTTATTAAATTACTTAACCCATGAAATTTATTATTCATACTATAAGTCATACCTCACAAAATCTTATTCAGCATGATCCAACAAAACACGTGGAGATAGACAGATATTTTATCAAGCAAAACCTTGAAGAAAAGATCATCCAGTTTGTTTTTGTCAAATCAGAAAATTAACTAGCAGATATATTGACAAAGGCAATTTCCAGTAGAATTTTTCATGATTCACTTGACAAGTTGAACATTAAAAATATTTATGCACCAACTTAAAAGAAAGTATTAGCATGAGCTATTAGAAGTTACAAAAAAAATAAAACACCAGTTGTATCAACTTTCTAATTGCATTTGTATATACCAACTCTCTAGTTTCCAGACTTAAATCTAGGAGAGGCTGTAATATAAAAGTAGATTAGTTAAAACACATCTCTAAACTCCTTCCCCCGTATCTCTATATATAGACCGTGAGTCAATTAATAAAGGAAGTCAGTCTGCTTCTCCAGAAAATCTGAGATGTCCTGCAGAAGACATCACTTCTAATCTCTTGTCTAAGTAAATATCATCATCCTGCATCCATTCAACATTCATTAAAATATTATGTGAGTCTATTAAAAAATTGGTGGTATTTGCATGCCAAGTTAGGTCTACAATACTTCATTAATACATGGAACCCACCAACACTTCATTTCAACAAGATTTCTCACTTACGCATTATTTTTCATGGTATATAACAGTTATGAACACCTTAGACTATATTCTTCAATTCTCATCTAAAGAACCCTAATCTTTTATCCCTAAAAATCCCATCAAAACCAACTAAATCTAGTACGTAAAACATGTTTAATTGTCTAAATACTTTACCAAATAAAGATTTGAGTTTTCACCACTTACCGATCAAAAGTCTTCCAACTTCTATATATTTTTCCTCAAAGATTGCCGTCCTTCTCCCTCTAATATTTCACACTTGATTTTTCTCTTAAATGAGTTATTAAGTGTTTAATTGCACAAAATCTCACTTCTCTCACTTTAATTCTTGATTTTTTTCTAAAGTTTCTTAACGTTTTTTCCTCGCAATTCTAGAATACTCTCAAGCTCTCTTTGTTTTTCTTATGGCCGGCCATGTTGGCTATCTACACTTGTATCTTTTGTGTTTCCCGGATATTTTTTTTTTATCCAGATTCTGTTGTTTGTTCCTTTATGCTGAATTTAAACTCATCTATTTTCAATTTCATTTAATTATATTTCACTATTTTTTTCTCACTCAAGCATCACCGTCTGTCCAAGTTTTATTCACGTTTCTGTATTTTTTTTTTCTCAAATATTTTCAGAATTCTAAAACACATGCACCAAACATTTCATTTTATCTTATCCGTAGATTATCTTCCCTTTATGGTAAATATTTTGGATAATTTTATTTTCCCTTCTTTTTTTTAGGTGTTTACATTTTCTTACTTTTTTTTCACTTCTATGATATTTTCTATTCATTTTGAAAAAAAAAACATTTTATCCAAAGTTTTTTTTTAATGATTTGTTCCAATTCCTTTTGAAACTCGACTTGGTCTAAGCTCTAGGTCTTTTAAATTACGAGTCAACTTATCAGGTCAAGCATAACTTTAAAATAGTATATTTTGAATTTGAGTTTTTGAATTATTTTTTTTTCATATTTTTTCTTTACTCTCTTAATTTTTTATTTTTTTTAAGATTCCTTTGTGAATTTATGGCCTTAAGAATTTTTAATTTTTCCCTTCAATTTAATATTTGATAATATTTGAGATTTTGACCTTTAATTTTTTTTTATTTTTTATTCTTAGCCCTTTTATCAAATTTTAATTTATTTTTAATTTCATCATTGGATTTATAATCTTGAATTTTTTTCAATTCCATCTGTGTTTGCTAGTATTATTTGTTTTTGAATTTTTTTGTCATTGATTTTCTTTTTTTGGTTTCATCTTTTATTGTTTTGATTATTGAAGATTGACAATCATTATTTTTTTTAATTTTTTCCCTATGATATCAATTCATTTAATTTTTTTTTCTCTTTTAAAATACACTTATAACACTTAAGCATTGTGTTTTTACACTTCAAAAAAATCAGCTTAGCCCACAGCTAGTAACAATAGCTATTTGAAAAGGAAAATTATTGTTAACATTATTGTTACTCTTCTCAATATCTTACTGTTCTAATTATTCATTATAACAGTAATTTTTTTTTTATTTGCTCTTTTTTTCTTTTCTTTTTACTTTTCTTTTTCTTATTTTTTTTTATATTTCAACATTGCGTTTATTGGACATTCAACTTTGTTATTTATTTTAGTTTTCTTTATACAAGGTTATCATGGTCTCAGAAAAACATCCTCGTATTGAGTTGATGCTTAGTTTTGTAGGCGTTTATTTTTTATCATATAATTAAATAAAAATAATTTTTCTAAATAAAAATAAAATTATTAAATTCAATGAAGTTCATAATCTAGATTGCAAATTTGATGAGTTAACCTTGGTTAATCAGAATTTATTCAAAACATTGTAGTCTCAAAAACTTTTTAAGAAAGGATATTTTCTAGAAAATATTTTTAAAATCAAATCATATTTTCACTAGTCGTTTAAATTTTCTTTAACCTGCTAAGTTGACCAGGTCATGCCAGGACAACTCATATATAATTTAATTTTAAACTCGAGTTAAACAAAAAAGTATAGTTGGGAGATTTCATGTTTGATATGTTGAGTTGAATTTAATGACACTGTAATTTTTTTTAATTTGAGCATAATTGTTTTACATGTAAAAAAAATATGTTGGTAGTGCAGGGAATCAATTGGTGCATTCATGGTGGTATTTTTATTTAGTTTATTTTTTTGTTAAATAGTACTTAATAACCAAAGTTTAAAGTATGTTTTTACATGTATATTAGGCTGGGGTTTAATAATCAAAGTTTAAAGTATGTTTTTTAGGTCTATTTTAGAGGATTTTTAGGGTCTATCTATGGTTTTTTTAAGTCCATCAATTTTCTTTCTCCTCCTTTATATATATTTATATAGTAGTTCATTAAAAAAAATATAAATGTTGTAGGTGTATCTAAAAATACATATAATACCAATGTATATATTTAAGGTTGAGTTTGATACTCTATCCATTATTCATTTGGTATTCATTAAGTTCCAGCCGAATTCTCATCCATATTAAATGAATATTAAATGAATAGTAGATTGTATTTGTCCAATCTTAAGTTATTATTTTTATTTTTAATATGAATATTTGTATCAGCTTATATATACTTTAATTAATTTTATAAACCCGAATCTAGTTGACCTAATTGGCAA